TTATACTATGAACGGAATCTTATTATTATTGGGTTGTCTCATAATTCCTGTCGCATTTCTATTCAATTTCAAATTCTTCCGTCTAAGACCGTTTCATTGCGAAATACGTTAGTATGTTGAAGTATGCTTCAAGAGCCTTAACAGCGTGGTTTCGGAAGCGCAAGCCCGTAACGGGTTAATCAACTAGGAATAAAAATAGGTCAGTGATATCACGAGATTTATGCCTTTGCGACCCCCATAATGAAACTCTGTTGCGAGGAGGACAACGGAGAATGATGAGCTCTATGTTCGACTCAGTCTCTGCTACTGACAGGGTACTGAGCTAGTGGACCAATCGCAACGGCAAAGACGAAACGAGCTATGAAGTTCAACCTGATACTGGGTCTGCGGTCATTTTTGATGAGCGCCCCTTGCAACCTAAATTGGGAGTGCCTCCGCACTCCCATATAATCATTCTTCTTAAGCGGTCGGGCCGTGCCTCCCTCTGTCGGAACTTACCACAATGGATTCTGCTGCTGTGGGACCAGTTTCGAATTCAATGAGGAATACACAAAGAGACTCGTTCAAGAATCGGACTGATTTCGCGGATCGGCTGAAGCAGATGGCAGAAGAGGAAAGTCTTCTTCGTATGTTAAGCTTGATCATCGACATCTTGTTTGACACGAAAAGAGACTTATTAGAGCTTACTCATCAGTGTAATTTATACTCGCAGAGAACAAGGCTCTTAGAGAAGAAAACGACAGTTTGAAGAAACAGCTCCGAAGTTTGGAAGAGAAAAGTGGTGAAGAACTGAGTCCAAGACCTGACCAAAAGCAAGAATTAGCTGGTTGTGAGTCGTCTAACATAGATTCAGAATTGGACAAATCAATTGTGATTTCGGGAGTACCAGAAAACCAATCACCAAATTCGACGGATCGCGCATACCATGATCTCCAGTGTATATCTTCACTACTAAACTTCCTTGGCGTTGAATGTCTTCCAAGCTCCGTTTACCGTATGGGTCTCAACACTAGACCAAGACTACTCAAACTGGTTCTTCCCAACAGTCGCTTTCAAAAGGAAATGATCAAGAGAGCTCCACGTCTGCGATTTTTCCCTCAAAGAGGTGTACATCCGCCCATCATTAACAAAAGAGGAAAGGATCCGTAGGCGTGAGGCACGTTTGTCTGGTATCACTCACTTGAATCATGCTGGCAAAAATGATGTTCTGGTAACCAATCCCAAGACTAGTTCTAGCACAAATGAAATGCCCTCTGATAACTTATCTGATAAAAACAATTGTGCATTGTCTGAGAATTTGCATTAATCTCTCTCACAGGGAAACCATTGAATCCTCTTCGGTTCACAACCTAGGGTGAAATGTTTGCTTGCCAATGCTCGTTCACTTGTCAAAAACAATTTCTCTCTAGAGATGAATGTTTGCCTCAAATGTTATGATCTAGTATTTATTACCGAAACATGGTTAAATTCTAAACATGACATTCCTTCTTTATTGATCATATTGAGTTCAAACTTTGGTGTTTACGTTGTGATCGATGTAAAAAGCAAGGAGGTGGAGTATTAATCCTAACACGAAATGTGTTCAATTACATTCAAATTTTCTCTGACTCTGTTTGAAGGATACGAAATTATAATAGTCTATATATTTTTAAATAAAATAAGATGTTTTACGGTATATAGAACCCCATCATGTTTTTCAGAATTAAATGAGCAACTTCTCAATATAATTAGCGATTTTCTGTATGTGAACATCCATCAGTGATCGTTGGAGATTTCAAAGCTACTCGATCATCGCTTGGCTCAGCCTTCTTAGAAACCCTGCCAGCCCATAAATTCAAGCAATTCGTAGTTGAACCTACAAGAGAAAGAAGCATTCTTGATCTGATATTATCCAACGATGTTACACTTATAGAAGATGTGTCCGTGGATCCTCCTATTGGAAGCAGTGATCATAGCAGTATTTCATTCTTTATCTCAAGTTGCTATAGTGAGCCTCAATTTGTACTGTATAGGGACTTTTCGAAATGTAATTTTGAGGAATTGTACAATTTTCTTTCCTCGATTGATTGGATTGGTTCCTTCGAATCTGTTAGCTCAGTAAATGAAAAATACGAAATGTTCATCAGCATATTACATCACTCCATTGATATGTATGTTCCAATTAAACGTGTTAGCACATCTTACCCTCATCTTCCTCCATATATTCAAAATATGGCTGAACATCGATCTTGTCTTGTTTCACCTTCGCAAAATGCTCCCAGTTAGACAGCCGATTGGGATAAGTTTCTTCGTTTCTCTCAGAAATTTGACTATTTCCTTAAAAAATACAACAAAAGCATCGAAAATAAGATTCTAAGGAATAGAAACAAGTTGGGACTTGTAAAACTTCTGAATAGGAAACTAAAAATCCGTTCAAAAATTTCTTGTCTGAAAAGGAATGAAGTTGTTGCAGTACTAGATGTGCAGAAAGCCAATTTACTTGCTGAAAAGTTTTGTGAAGTCTTTTCTAAGAATGATGATGTATTTCCTTTCTTCGATGTCAACATCTCTACTCCTATGTCTGATACTCCTTGGTTCGATGGATTCACACTTTACTCTCTTTTGAAAGAACTGCCTCATCCTATTCGTTGACACCTGACTATGTTCCGGCCATGTTTGTGAGAAAGATTGCCCATATCATAGCTGAACCTTTAGCCTTACATTTTCAACCAATCGTTATGCTATTCTGAAGTTCCTCTGAAGATGGAAACATTCTTTTGTCACCCCACTCCTCAAGAAAGAACCTTCCTTATTCTGTTGATAATTATAGACCTGTTAGTATCACATCTTATTTCTGTCTATTGTTTGAAAAGGTTCTGAAAAAACACATTATGTATCACCTTGAAAAGAATGGAATCATCCCAACAATCAGCATGGGTTCCACACCGGGGAGGTCAATTGAAACCAACCTTCTGGAGTGCATTAATGATTGGAGTGATTACTTAGACAAAAAGAAGTCCTGTGATGTTATCTATTTCGATTTTTCAAAGGCCTTTGACAAAGTTGATCACTCCAAACTTATGCATAAACTTGTTCTTCTGAAATTTCATCCTCTCATTTGTCGTTGGTTATATGAATATTTGTCAGGAAGAACTTTTCAAGTCAAAATAGGAAAAGTCTTCTCGGTTGTGAAAGATGTTAAAAGTGGAGTTCCTCAAGGCGGTGTGTTTATCTCCTATCCTTTTTTCAATATACACAGCTGAGCTTCCCAAACTTCTTGAGAACTGTGGTGTTATATGTAAACAATTTGCAGATGACATCAAAATTTATAGAATGATAGATAATGTTGACGACACGAGAATTATACAGAACGCTCTTGACACGATTTATGATTGGTCCATTCAATGGAGTTTACCTTTAGCGCCTGAAAAAACGGAATACATGAGAATTGGCTCTTGTAGCCTCAACAGCTCATATTGCCTAGCTAATCATACCCTCAAGAATGTTTCTTCTGTCAAAGATCTAGGCTTCCACTACGACAATAAACTATCTTTTTCTCTTCATTTTGATGCGCTCTACAAGAAGGCTACATTCAGAACATATCAAATTTTCAAAGGCTTAACAGTTAAGGGCAAAGACTTACTAGCTATGGCTTACAAAATTTACGTTAGACCTGTGGCAGAATGTGGAACTACGGTTTTTCAGCCCTTATAAAAAGAAAGACATTCAGCTACTTGAAAAAATTCAAGAATAATTTCACCCGAAAAATATTCATTAGATCTGGGGACTTTACTCCAGATTACCACAATCGTCTTGCAGAAATGAAGGAATACAATTTACACACTTTATGTTCAAGAAGAAAGTGTTTTGATGTCAATATGGTTTTTAAGATTCTAACAGGACTAGCTAGAATAGATGTATCTATTTTTACATGATGAATTTTTTTTCTTGTATTTTTTTTTCTTTCAATTCAAGGGACAGAGGAGGGTCAGAGAAATTGTATGCAAGCCCAAACGAATACAATCACTATAGCTTTACAAGTTAGGGCTGGGATCCGCAATTTGTTTCTTAACCCTGTTAAGTTGCTATCTCGACCTTCTGCTTTTCAAAGGCTATTCCAAGAAGAATTGTTAAGATTTGGCTAGTATTGCTAATATTGTAGTGATGATAAGATGTATGTTTGTATCTATATCTTACGCTTGCCTTATGCAACGTTCTAAACAATAAACAATAAACAATAAGACCATAAAACTAACCAGTGATGTTCACTTCGTCATTATTTACAACTCTGATTGCATTTTGCTGAGATTCCCGGATGTAGAAGTTAAAAAAAAATTGAGCTCGTTTTTTTTGGAGTCCTTTTTGTTCTCAATTTGTGGGAAATGAATATGGTTTTAATTTGAGCGAAAAAGGTAAAGGCACGGTTTGATTAGAACGATAGACTCAAAAGAGCTGAAAAAAAATTTTCTTTTTTATTTAACCGAAGAATAACAGCTGTCGAAAGGCCGATTTTCGCCGTCTGATTTTCCAACTTCTAAGCTCTATACCTGAGTACAGCTACAATTTTGAAGAAAATGACAACAACGGTTTTGTAGAGCGGGAAGAGTACTTTCAAATGGTATGAGCGTTGGATGATACCCATGCTGGCTGAATTCATTTATACGCTCGAAGAAAACGCTACGGTATTGTGCTCCAACTCAATAATACGACACTAGCGACGAAAATTACTTTTTTCCATTTCTACATTTTTTTAACTGCTAACAGTGACTGCAGCTTTTTTATCGTTCTGCTACTTTTCCTACGTGGTATTTCTCCCGTGACTGTGCACAGCTTCGAGTCTATTTGAATGAATCAATAAATAAGTTTCATTCAAAGCGTGCATATGTACGTTTTTTTAGCTGCACTAATTTCTGCAAATCTTAGCTGTTCTGTCAAGTGCCTCAACCAAAAACCGTCTCAAGTGTTACAGCAGGGCCTTGTCGGGTCACTAGGTCGCCTGATTTGTCGCGTATATTTTGTTGGGAGATAAGAAGAGTGGAATTGATAAATGGATCGAGCAAAACAAAAAGCGTCCTAGTTGACGACTAAAAAAGCAATGTAACATCAGAAAGTCCTCCATCAAGTCCTTCATCGTTCATAGTTCTACCGTAACACACTAGATAAGAAAAAGGATCTGACATTGTGAACAAAGACATTCATGATATCTCAAGGAAAAGGGCGAATGTCATGTGAACAGGGAATGGAGAGATTAGGCATCATTATCGACATCAGTGACAACATCATATAACCTTGCCCATATCACCGGCGTTACGATAAGAGTTCGCCACTACAGTCAACACTGCGCGAGGTTGATAAAGAGAGAAATATGATCACAATACCCAAAACAGTACATTGACGACAGGCCGTTGTGGGTGTTTCCTGACATCTTGTTTGAATTTTTTTAGAGCCATCATTACCCCTTCAATAATTCCGTTGACAGATAGAGACACTATTTTCTTAATTTAATAATGTAAACAGTCAGCTTCGAAACGTGAAGTACCGAAAATCAGAAAAAAATGATTGTCGCGCGTGGAAATACGACGCGCATGCGCGTCGCTGTCGCCAATAGGTTAACCAATACTCCTCATGAATGCATGGAAGCATCGATAAATCCGCTCAGAGAATAAGTCAAGTACGTATATGAGGATGAGGAAAATTTCCACTACACCTACGAAAAATGTAAATTTCATATTTATTTCACCCGGTATCGAACACTTCATACTTACGGGGGTATAGCAGGAAAATTTCGACAAATTCAAAATGAAATGAGAAATTCACAGGGTTACACTATTTCAAGTGCATCAAATTTAATTTTACCCCTCGGACTGGCACCTCCACGCACACAATCGCAGGTGGAGGGATTGGGCAGAGTGGGAGTCATATGAAGACCCTCAAATGAAGAGGTCGTCAATTATGTCCTATACCTCTCATGAGTACATATTTCAATTTCATATTCCATTTTGTTATTGAATTCACTCATAAAGTGATCAGAATATCGTTTTTCTTCAGTCTGATTGCAAGAACCAACTAAAATGAACCACACATCCACGAAAACATTGTGATCCGACCAATGTTTGCAGTAAAGCCATCAAATAGTGACTGGATTAAACTATTCCCCCCTCCCTACGGAAAAAGGTTCACGACGTTAAGTAATTCTGGCACTCAGGATATCCGGTAAGGAAGAGCTGATTAGATCATGATCTAACACATCATTGCTTTGGCACGCTATAACAAGCTGCAAGCA